CCAGGTGAGGGGTGGACATACGCACTCTGAAGGGTCCTGGGCGGGGGTACCCCCGAGTCTCCGGGCTCGTGATGCTGGGAATCTTGTCCGCCCCCCGCCCAGAACCCTGGAGGGTGAGGGAGAACCCAGCTCCCAGGAGCCTCCAGGCCACTGCCCCGGGGCGCCCTGGGAAGGGTCCCTGCCCGGGAGGCAGCACCTCCCTGGGGTTTGTGGGAGCGGCAGGGAGCTGGCACCGCTGACCCCCGCCCCCCCTCCCCCGCAGCCCCCCGGTCCAGTTCTCGCTGCTGCACTCCAAGTTCCACCTGTGCAGCGTGGCGACGCGCGCCCTGCTGCTGTCCACCTACATCAAGTTCATCAACCTCTTCCCCGAGACCAAGGCCACCATCCAGGGCGTGCTGCGGGCCGGCTCCCAGCTGCGCAACGCCGACGTGGAGCTGCAGCAGCGCGCGGTCGAGTACCTCACCCTCAGCTCGGTGGCCAGCACGGACGTCCTGGTCAGGGCCCGCCCCCCCCTCCCCCGCCCGCCCTCTGCCCTCCGGGCCGCGCCCCCCCCCCTCCTGACCCGCCCCCCTCCGCCGCCGCAGGCCACGGTGCTGGAGGAGATGCCGCCCTTCCCCGAGCGCGAGTCGTCCATCCTGGCCAAGCTGAAGCGCAAGAAGGGGCCGGGGGCCGCCAGCGCCCTGGACGATGGCCGGAGGGACGCGAGCAGCAACGACATCAACGGGGGCGTGGAGCCCGCGCCCAGCACGGTGGTGAGCCCCCGGGCTGGGCCGCGGGGAGGGTCCCCCTGGGCCACCGTCTCTCCTCACCTACGTCTGTGCCTCCTGCAGTCCACACCCTCCCCCTCCGCCGACCTCCTGGGGCTGCGGGCAGCCCCTCCTCCAGCCGCAGCCCAGGCCCCCGCGGGAGCCGGCAACCTGCTGGTGGACGTCTCCTCCGATGGCCCCGTCGCCCAGCCCGGCCTGGGGCCCACCCCCGAGGAGGCCTTCCTCAGGTACCGTCTGCCTTGGGCGCTGTCTCCTCCCCCACCTCCTCCCTCCCTCCCTGTCCCTGTGCCTCTGTCCACCTGCCTGCCGCCTCTCGGCTACTTCCTCCCTCCGGCCACTCTGGGCCCGGCTGCCCCGGCCACCCTTGGTCGTCCTGGCCCTCACCGTGTCTCACTCAGCCTGCTCTTCCTTCTCTCCTTCCCTCCTCCTCCTTTCTCTCTGGCCCTTTTGCTGCCTGTCTGGGATTGGCTGCCTGCCACGCCTGTCTTCTCTGTCTGCTCTGGGATTGGATGGCCCAGCGAGCTGGAGCCGCCTGCTCCTGAGAGCCCCATGGCTTTGCTGGCTGACCCGGCTCCAGCTGCTGAGTAAGGGGTGGCCTCAGGGGGTGGTGGGCAGACGTGTCCCCAGGGAGGGTCAGGGGCCCGGGAGCTCTGGTCAGGGCTTCCCGTTGCACTAACTGTGGAGTCGAGGTCTCGGGAGGGAGTGCAAACAGGGTCCTCTGGCGTGGGGTGGGGAGCAGCACACGCAGGGCCTCTTCCCATGAGGCAGTCACCAGGCTGGTGTGGGGCTCTGTGTGGCTCTCCGGGGAATCGGGTGTATGGATCGTGGGTTCTGCCCTTTTAGGGCCGTTGTCTCCTTCCTGAGCTAGTTCCAGGCCTTGCCCTCTATCAGCCCCTCCCTCTCCAGCCCCTCCCATCTTCTCCTCTCCCTGCAGCCCCGGGTCCGAGGACATAGGGTCGCCCATCCCAGAGGCTGACGAACTGATGAATAAGTGAGTCCTGGGAGATCAGGAGGGACGTGAGGACGGGCGGGGAGCAGGAAGCAGAGCCCAGACAAGCGCCCTCTCATCCTGAGCTCCCCCTCCCCGCTCCCCCAGGTTCGTGTGTAAGAACAACGGGGTCCTGTTTGAGAACCAGCTGCTGCAGATTGGAGTCAAGTCGGAGTTCCGGCAGAACTTGGGTATGTGGGTGTGGGGGGCTGTGAGGATGGGGTTCGGGGAGACCTGGCTCGGGTGTGGAGTAGGGACTGACGGAGGCCGCCTCTCCCCATCCTGCAGGCCGCATGTATCTCTTCTATGGCAACAAGACCTCCGTCCAGTTCCAGAGCTTCACGCCCACTGTCGTCCACCCCGGGGACCTCCAGACCCATATCCTCTGCCCTGGCCCAGCCCCCGGCCCCAGGCCCCCCGCCGGGCCTGCCTCCTGGGACAAGAGGGCCCCAGGTCGAGACCCGTCTTCAGCCTCTTGCTTGAGAGCCTGGTTAACTGTGAGATGTAGTGTCATCTGTAGGAGGGGTGGACCCTTCCCCCCAGGAGGGGACAGCGAAGTGATAGGTGTGAGGAGGCGGTGCTTCTGGAGCCCCTGCTGCCCAGGCCCCTTGTCCCTGCCTGGCCCCTTCCAGACCTTTCCTGACTGTCTGCTGTCCGGCTCCACACCAGGGTTCTGCCTCCTGAGCTCGCGGGCCAGCCTGGGTCCCGGTGCCGACCGAGCCCTGTGAGCCCGGGCCTGTCGCTCTGCCTGTGTGGACCCTTCGCTTCCTCCTCGTGGGGTGGTTTTGCGCATCCACGTGGTTGGAAAACTCTGGAAGGATGAGAGGAAGTGCTTGAGCAGCCAGTCCCTTCTCCCCTCTGCTCCATTCCCAGCCCTGTGACCCAAACTCTGAGGATCTTCCTGTGTTTAGTTCTTCGCTTCGCCCATCACCATTTCCAGAGGCCTCTTGAACACTCAGCGCTGCTGGGCATGGGGGGGGGGTGAGATACAGAAGGCCCGGCCCGTGCCCTGGGCCGCTGGAGGTGATAGCAATGACTGCAGGTCCCGTGTGCCAGCCACACTGACAAGTGCTGGTGCTGGATCCTGTCACCGAGCGCCGAGGACACATCCAGTTCGCAGATGCGGCTGAGAGAGGCCACCAGGGGCCCATAGTCGCTGAGGTGGCAGAGCTGGGATTGCAGCCCAGAGAGGCTCTTGCCTGCGGGGCGGGGAGTGGGGGGGAGGCCGCCGAGCCCCATGTGAAAGGCGATGTCGCATGGGGGCATCCGGGCGTCAGGGCCCAGGGGCCACCTCCGTCTCTGGTTCCTTGACGGCTGGGCACAGCTGGCCGTGCAGACCAAGCGGGTGGCCGCGCAGGTGGACGGCGGGGCGCAGGTGCAGCAGGTGCTCAACATCGAGTGTCTGAGGGACTTCCTGACGCCCCCGCTCCTGTCCGTGCGCTTCCGGTGAGTTCTGAGGTGGGGACGGTGCGGATGGGCGGGGCCTGTCGGTGAGGGGCGTGGTTGGCGGGGCGGGGCCTGTCGGTGAGGGGCGTGGTTTAAGGGGTGGGGCGGGGCCTGTCGGTGAGGGGCGTGGTTTGATGGGCGGGGCCTGACAGCGGGGGCGTGGTTTGATGGGAGAGGCGGGGTCTGACAGTCACGCCCCCAATCTCACGCCAGGTATGGGGGAGCCCCTCAGTCCCTCACCCTGAAGCTCCCCGTGACCATCAACAAGTTCTTCCAGCCAACAGAGATGGCGGCGCAGGACTTCTTCCAGCGCTGGAAGCAGCTGAGCCTGTGAGTAGCGCCGGGCCAGCCTCGCTCGGGGCGGGGGCGGGGGCGGGCGGCCGGGCCCTGACTGGACCCTCTCCGCCCAGCCCCCAGCAGGAGGCGCAGAAAATCTTCAAAGCCACCCACCCCATGGACGCGGAAGTCACGAAGGCCAAGGTGAGGGCCAGGGGGACTCGGGAGGGAGCCCCGGGCTGACATCCCAGCCCGGCCTCTCCCGAACCCTGGGATTTGGGGCCCGCGGCTGGTCACCTTCCCGAGCCTCAGTTTCCCCATCTGGAAAATGCGGCCAGTTCCCCCTCCTGTGGTTTTGGGGACCAGTAGGCCACCCTGACGGCCGCCACCCTTCCTCCCAGCTCCTGGGGTTTGGCTCCGCTCTCCTGGACAACGTGGACCCCAACCCCGAGAACTTCGTGGGGGCCGGGATCATCCAGACGAAAGCCCTGCAGGTGGGCTGTCTGCTCCGGCTGGAGCCCAACGCCCAGGCTCAGGTGAGCGGCCCGGGAGGCCCACCCGAAACAGATACCCCCCAGTCCTCGGGCTCATCTCCCACTCCCTGGCTTTCTGCCTACATATCCTCTCCACTGTTCTTGTCTTATTTTTTACTGATTTCAGAGAGGAAGGGAGAGGGAGAGAGAGATTGAAACATCAATGATGAGAGAGAATCATTGACCCGCTGCCTCCCGCACGCCCCCTTCTGGAAATCGAGCTCACAACCCAGGCATGTGCCCTTGGCCAGAATCGAACCTGGGACCCTTCATTCCACAGGCTGATGCTCTATCCACTGAGCCAAACCAGCTAGGGCCTTTCCACTGTTCTTGACCTCTTTTATTTTCATTCTTTGCCCGTTCCCATCATTTTTATTCCTACTTCCTGTCCCTTCTATCATCTTCTAGACCCCTTCCTCCTTTTTCTCTCTTCTAATCTTCTCTCCCCTGGACCCTCCCCCCTGGGCTCCCCATCCTCTCCCCTGGCCTGTATCCCTCCCTCCGCCTCCTCTCTGAGTCCCTTCCCCCTCCTCCCCCAGATGTACCGGCTGACCCTGCGCACCAGCAAGGAGCCCGTCTCCCGCCACCTGTGCGAGCTGCTGGCCCAGCAGTTCTGAGCCCCGGACCCGCCCCCGGAAGTGTGGCCGCGCCAGGAAGCCCCGGGACTGAGGGAGCTGTGGTGGATCGGAGCAGAGAGGGGCCCTCCGCTGGTGACAGGAGGACCCCAGGGTAGGGGGATGCCTGGGACTCTCCTCCGGCATTTTGTATTTTTATTTTTGTTCATCTGCTGCTGTTTACATTCTGGGGGGTAGGGGGAGCCCCCTCCCTCCCGTCCCCCCCCCAAGCACAGAGGGGAGAGGGGCCAGGGAAGCAGGCGCCTCCTCCCTCCCACCCACCCTGTTGTGGCCCCTCCGCCCCCTCCCCGCCAGGGGCTGTGTATTATTGTGACCCAATAAACAGAGACGCTAACCGCCCCGTCCCCGTCTGCGGTCAGAGGAGGGGGGTGAGGGCCTGCAGAGTGCGGGCGGCCAGGCCCCGCAGCCCGTGGCAGGGGCTCTGAGCGGATAGCAGCAGCAGCAGCCGCCGCGGCCCCACCTGGAGGGCCACCAGGCGCCATCCCGTGCCCGGCTCCTCGGTCCCCGACACCAGGTAGCAGGCTCTCGGCACGTGAGCCTGCTGGGCCGTGTCCTCCGCCTTCTCTTCCTGCTGCCCGGGCTCTGGAGGAAGGACGGGAAGGGCTGAGGTGACCAGTGGGGTGTGGGCCACTCAGATGCCACCCGCGGGAGCCAAACCCCAGCCTGGGCCCGAGTGTGACTCCGGACAGGCAGGGGCCTCAGCTCCATCGGGTGTCAGTGACCTGCAGGCACAGGCTCTCGCCCAGCCTCGGTCCCCTCTCTCCTGGGACACTGTGCAGCCCCAGCAGTCCACTCAGAAACACAAATGGAGCCCTAACTGGTGTGGCTCAGTGGATAGAGCGTCGGCCTTTGGACTGAAGGGTCCCGGGTTTGATTCTGGCCAAGGGCATATGCCCAGGTGGCAGACTCGATCCCCAGCGGGGGGCATGCAGGAGGCAGCCAATCGGTGATCCTCTCTCCTCAGTGATGTTTCTATCTCTTTCCCTCTCCCTTCCTCTCTGGAATCAATAATAAATATATTAAAAAACAACAACAAACACACAAACGGCAAACACGCAGGTGATATTTACCATCAGGCATTCAGCTCCAGTGGGGGGTACCCCAGGGACCCCACCCCACTGTGGGAAGCTGGTGGGGCAGGTGGAGGCAACAGCTAGGAGGGAGCAGTCCTGACCTCCAGGTGCTGCTCTTCACCGTTTTTTGCTAAATATCAGGCTCCTCCCTGCCAGGGCAGGTCACCCTGGGTCCTTCCTGTCTCTCCAGCGCCTCTTGAGTTCTCCTCACTCCCCTGGGCTCCGTGGCGCCCCTCCCCCGACTATGGGCTTAAAGCGGGAGAGCGGAGTGAGGCTTCTGGCTCTGCTGCTTGTTAGCTGCGCCTCAGTCTCCTCATCTGCGAAATGGGAATGATCACACAGCAGGAGGTAGCCCTCACTCTGAGGACGGAGCGAGTCATTGCATATAAAGCATTCGGCAACAGATTTAACTATTAAGATTACCCAGGAGAGTCTGTCACCTCAGGCTGGGACCCCCCCGCCCCTCCTTTCCATCCGTGGACGCCCAGGCCTTAGCCATGCCCAACGCCGGCTGAATCCTGCCAGTTTCCCCCGCGCCCCCCCCCCCCACTCCCTCCTGAGTGACCTGGGCCTCAGTGTCCCAGTCTGTGCACAGGGGGCGCTGTGCCCGCCGCTGACCTGGTGGGAAGTGCGTGGCGGTGACGAGGGCGTAGAAGGAACGGAGGAGGCACCGCCGCTGCGCAGGGGAAGGATCTGAAAGAAGAACCGGTGACAGACCCTGCAGGGCCCGGGGCCCTCCGGCCGCCTCCCCACCCCCCTCCTCCTCAGTCACCTTTCTCCGCTGCAGGCTCCACGGTGAAGAGGCAGCGCTTCAGCTCCAAATGGAGGAGCAGCAGCCTGTGGGGAAGGGCGTGCGGTGACGGGGAGGAAGGAATGCGGACCCCAACCCCCCCCACCCGCCCTCCATCCGAGCCCTACCCGAGGATGTCGGCGTGCAGGGGGAAGTCAGCCGGCAGAGCGCGGGGTCCCAGCGGCAGGCAGGCCCGCAGGGGGTCCAGCGTGGGCTGCCACCAGCGGTCCAGGAGCTGCCAGGCCACGGGGAGGTCAGAGAGGGGTCAGGGGGACCACCGAGGAGGGTAGGAGCCCACAAGGGGGAAGGCAAGGGGACTGAGGATGGACACAGGGCAAAGGAGCCAAAGGGGAGCCAAGCCGGGGTGAGGGCGGTGGGAGCACAGCCCGAAAGGGCCGGGGCCTGTGCGGGAGCTGGGGCACAGAGCAGAGAGCACGTGGGCCGGAAGCTCGGGTGGGGGGTATAATAGGAGGAAGCAGGACGTGGGCCGAATTCACCTGTGGGTCCAGCTGGCTGAGGGGAGGGCGCGGCCCGCAGAGCAGGCACAGCTCCAGGCCCGGCAGCAGCGTCAGGGTCAGGAGGCGGTGCGGGACCTGAACCCGGGGCGCGAGGTGAGCCACAGGCCAGAGCTGCGTGCCAGCCCTGCCTCCTGTCTCACCCCTTCGTGCCCAGGTGCCCCAGGCCCCCACCTTCCCTCCGCCCGGCCCACCCGCGCACCATGGGGCTCCCGTGCGGCAGGTACACCGGGTAGTCCCGCGCGGCCTGCGGCGGCAGGGATCCCACCAGCCAGGGCAGGAGCACGGCCTCCGGCGTCCCCAGCCGCCACCAGCTCTCTGTGGCTGTCACCACCCGGCCCGACACCAGGAGGCTGGCGAAGGCCGTGCCCGCAGCCTCCGCGATCCCGGAGAGGGCTTCCTGGGTAAGGAGACACGAAGAGGGCACGGGGGCGTCCCGGGTGGCCGAGGAGTGCGGACAGCCAGCCATACAATTCCCAGTTGGCCTCGTGGCCATGCCCAAGTGTCTCACCCGCCCTGGGCCTGGGCTCCTTCACCACCACACGCAGTCACAATCCCCAAGTCACAGCGGGAAGTGAAACAGGTAAGGCATCTGCTGCGCCGCCAGCGTGAGCTGCTGAGGCCAACAATCAGCAGCAGCTGTGGTTACTGAGACCTACTGTGTGCCAGGTACAGCCAACCACCTTCAGGCCTCTGGGGGTGGCCACACCTGGTGAATCCACAAGGGCAGCGTTTTTAAAAGGGTAAATAGAGAGCCGAAACCGGTTTGGCTCAGTGGATAGAGCGTTGGCCTGCAGACTGAAAGGTCCCGGGTTCGATTCCCGTCAAGGGCATGTGCCTTGGTTGTGGGCCCATCCCCGGTGGGGGGGTGTGCAAAGGGCAGCTGATCGATGATTCTCTCTCATCGATATTTCTAATTTTCTATCCCTCTCTCTTCCTTTCTGTAAAAAGTCAATAAAATATATTAAAAAGGGTAAATAGAGAGCCGAAACCTGGTTGGCTCAGTGGATAGAGCGTTGGCCTGCAGACTGAAAGGTCCCAGGTTCGATTCCGGTCAAGGGCATGTGCCTTGGTTGTGGGCACATCCCCAGTGGGGGAGGGGGGTATACAAGAGGCAGCTGATCGATGATTCTCTCTCATCGATGTTTTTGACTATAACTCTCTCTTCCTCTCTGTAAAAAATCAATAAAATATATATTTTTAAAAAGGGTAAACAGAGACTCCCAGACAGAAGGAACAGCCTATGCTAGGGCAGGGAAGCTGAGAAATGGTTGAGATGTGTGGGACCCCTCAGGCCACTGGGGAGGGGGCGGGGGTGGAAGCCATGAGAGGGCTGTGCTAAGGGGAGGGGCTGGGTCAGCTCTGGGTGTAAAAAGGTCCTTCTGGGGCCAAGTGGGGGTTGGACTGGAAGTCCTGAGGATGGGAAGAGGTGGAGGCAATGGTCCAGGGGTGAGAGGATGAGGACTGAGACGGGCCCATAAAGACAGGTTTAAGAGTTCCCAAGGCTCCCCCAATACCTGAAAGAGGGCTCCCTCTGGAGGAACCACACAGTCCACACACTGGGTCAGGTCCCCAATGAGCTCCGAGTCCCCCAGGAAGCTGTCAATGAGGCGGTAACAGGCCTGGCAGAGGGAGAAGGGAGGCACCTAGATCTGCCGCCTGCCCCTCAAAAAAGTGGCCCTTGTGGGTGGGCCTAGCTCCAGGGTCAGAAAACGGAGCCATCCCAGGAATCCATGGGGCAGGCTGCCCCAGGGGCTGCTGGGCACTGTAGTCCCCAAATACCCGTAGCCTCACCCTCAACTCCTTCTTCAGTCTTTCTACATTGCTGATGTTGGTCAGTTCTTCGAGTCCCACAAGAAGAACCTAGAAGAACCATATAAGAGAATAGGGGCCCTGGGCATCTGAGAAGAAAGCAGGGGCTGACTCAGACTGGGGATCTGGACTCCTGAGTCAGCGGGAGGAGGGCCTGGGAGCCAGGATTCCTAAGTTTGGGAGGAGAAAGGCGCTGGGGGCTGGACTGCTGGGTCTGAGGGAGAAGGATGCTGAGAGTTCACATTCCTTGGTTTGCAAAAGGGGCCTGGGGGGTCTCACCATGGCCCCAAACACCATCTGGAGCAGTCTCTCTAGTCTCAGCTCTGAGGTGCCCTCCTCAGATGACAGAACGATGAGGGTGATGCTGTGAGAAAGGAAGGTGAGGAGGGAACAGGACGGTGAGGATAGGAGTTTGCCCTTGATCCCGGCTGCTAGCTACATCCTCCTGCTGCGTAACCCGCTTCTCATCCAGAGAAACTCAGAGATCAGAGAGGGTAACAGCTGGCCTTGGAGGGCTGGAAGGCCTTTGAGGTCATCTTCCACAGGGCCCAGTCCCCGCCGCACGCTACCACTTGGAGACCTGTCATGGAAGCTTTTCCACACCACGGTGGTGTCCTCGGTCCTCGCAGAGCTCAGCTGCACCTCGAGATTCTGCCCAAACATGTGGACTCCATTGAGGGAGCCGATGACAGAGAACGGGAGCTGCGGAAAGGTTGAGGGCATTAGACAGGGGCCCCCCAATCCCCTCCCCTTTCTAAGTCCTCTGGCACCTCCTGGTCAGGGAAACAGTTTTTGGTCTATTGCACCCCTCAGACCTCTAAACTCCCCAGCCCCTGCTCCCTTGAAAACCTGAGCCCAAGCTCCTAACCCCCTTCCATTTCGGAGATCCAGACGTCCAGAGCCCCACCTGCTGGCGGGCGGGAGCACCGCCGCGGCTGCTCCTGCAGAACAGAGGGACTCCGCTGGAGGCCGCGAGGCACAGCAGATGGACGGTGCCCTCCGTCCCCTCCTCCCCCATTTGGAACCCCCAAATCCCTTGGTGAAAACGGTCAGTGCCAGTCTTGGAGAATGACCGTAGCCACACTAAAGCTGGCTGCCATCCGAAACCGCCAGAGGGCGAGATGGGGAGCTGATTGGAAGAACCCAACGCAAACCTCTGCTCTAACCCTATTCCAGCATCTCCCGGAAGCCAGGTTAGGGTTGCTTCCTCCCCGACCGGAAGTCACCGTGCCCCGAACAAAGATGGCGGATTGTTGATTGTTCGTAAAGCTTCGGAGTCGTTACCGAAGTGGTTTCGATTCTCGGCAGCTGAGTGCGGGAAAGGGCGGGGGGGGGGGGGGGGGGGGGCGCCGGGACGGGGAGAGGAAGAGGGCTGAGACACCAAAACCAAAATTTGGGCACGGGTAAAGGAGGGAGTGGGTACCGAGAAGACCCTCTGGACCAAGTATGTTGGGGGCATCGGCATAAGGTCACGGTTCCATCCTGAGTAAGGAGCTCACTTTGGAGTTCCGGAAAAGGTGAGAGAAACCATAAGCCCAGGAATTTCAGGCAGCTCCTGGGTAAGATTCTGTTATAGTGTGTGTTTTCTTTCTTTTAAATATATATTTTATTGATTTTTCACAGGAAGGAAGAGGGATAGAGTTCGAAATATCATGAGAGAGAATCATCGACCAGCTGCCTCCTGCACACCCCCTACCGGGGATGTGCCCGCAACACCAAGGTACATGCCTTTGACTGGAATCGAACCCGGGACCCTTGAGTCCACTGGCTGACGCTCTATCCACTGAGCCAAACCAGTTAGGGCTATAATGTGTGTTTTCTTACTGTCTGTCCAACTCTGTTGCTTTACAGGACTTATCCTCTTCCGGTTCAGCCTTCCCCTCCCCGCTTCTGATCCATGATCTGATAACTTCCTTCTCTGCTGCCTCCTTCCCAGCTCTGGTACCCAACCTCACATTTTGTTGTTAATCCTCAACCGTGGATATTTTTTCCATTGATTTTTAGAGAGAGTGGAAGGGTGGGAGGGGGAGAGAGAGAAACATCTGATGTACATAGATTGGTTGCATCCTGCACATGCCCTACCAGAGCCGGGAATGGAGCCTGCAACTCAGGTGTGTGGCCTTGACGGGAGGAATCAAACCTGTGACCCTTCCATGCACAGCCTGGCTCTCTAACCACTGAGCACACCAGCCTGGGCTAAGACCTCAGATTTTCTCAGCCTCTTTCCCTCCTTCTCAACGTGAGATTAGACTTATCTCTGGGGCCACTTCAGTTTATGATCTGGGAAGCCCGGGGCCTCGTTTCACTGCAAACAAACAGCTTAGCCGCCTGCATTTAGAGGGCCACCCTCTCTCCTACTACTTTCAGACACCCTCTCAGATCGAGGCTACCCTGAGGGCTCCCACAGGCATGCTCCCTGATAGATCCTCCCTTTCTCCAGTTGATGGACGGACGTAAACTCCATCTGTAGCTGGACATTCCTGAGCACCGAACCACCAATCAGCACCTGCCAAATACCCAAAGCCCCCATTCCTAAGTCCCTAGGTCCCTAATCATAGGCCTTTCAGCGTGTGCTGAGTGCCCTAAGCCCCGTCCCCTCTCTTTCCTCCCCTTAAAAAGTGCTTGTGCCCTGGCCCTCGCTCTCTTCCTCTCTCTCTCTCTCTCCCCCCCCCCCCCTCTCTCTCTCTCAGCAGCGGGCAGTGGTACTCTTCTCTTTAATAAAGCCTGTGTCCTGGCATCCGGTCTCTGGCACCCCTGTCTATTTCATCTTTTACTCCCTACATTCCATTTTTTAATTATTTCGGGCCTTAATTTCCCTCATCAGGCAGGAATTCTCCTGGCTGGTTGCCCTTCCATCCTAGAATCCTGCTCTTGCTTCCTCCAACCTCCTTTGCCAATTCTTTCACGCTGCTGGGCTGAGAAGATCCCTAGGGTCCTTGTCTCTGACATTCCATTGCCCTCCCCGCTTTGAGGAGCCCAGGCCCGTGTTCCATAGGAGACTTCAGACTTCTCCCCAGAACTGCTGACCAGGCTGGCCATACCACCCACTCGCCCTCTGGAGCCAGGATTTAGCATAAACATCCGCAGAGCCCTACCCGGTTTGGCTCAGTGGATAGAGCGTCGGCCTGTGGAATGAATGGTCCTGGGTTTGATTACGGTCAAGGGCACATGCCCGGTTGCGGGCTCAATCTCCAGTAGGGGGCGTGCAGGAGGCAGCCAGTCAATGATACTCTTTCATCGTTGACATTTCTATTTCTCTCTCCCTCTCCCTTCCTTTCTGAAATCAATAAAAATTCATTGAAAAGGAAAAGAAAACTTATAAATGAATGAGTGAATAAATAAATATCTGGAGGGAGAACGGCCCAAGTTCAGAGCACACATGGAATGGGCCTTTTTTAATAATTCTAACTACCAAGTCTGCCTTGCAGGGAATATGCCTTGGATCCATCACACCAGGAAACAAGCGATGGGCCCAGAGCCTGAGGTTACCCAGAACGCACGCTACTCCTGCGAGCCTGTAGCAGACCTCAAGCCACTGCTCCCAGGATTACCAACCGGGACACTAGCCCCTCCCGCCTACAAGCAGCCTCCACCCTCCTGCTGTACCTGAAAGAACCACATGGGGTGCTGTGGAGCAGTTACCTGCTGAGACATACGTGGAGTTCTTCCGGCTCCTCCTCCTCCTTTCCTGTTGTCTGCCAGCCAGCTTTGCTTTCCTACCTGGGAGAGCAGCAGTGTGGTTAACATCTCCCAAACGGCCGCAGAGGGAGAAATAAAGCATCGCTGGGCATGTCATCAACATCCCCTTCTCAACCAGTTACCCCTAGTAACTCCACTTTCTTTTTTTTCTAAATATATTTTATTGATTTTTTACAGAGAGGAAGGGAGAGAGAGAGAGAGCTAGAAACGTCAATGAGAGAGAAACATTGACCAGCTGCCTCCCGCACCCCCCTCCCCACTGGGGATGCACCCACAACCAAGGTACATGCCCCTGACCGGAATCGAACCTGGGAACTTTCAGTCCGCAGACCGACGCTCTATCCACTGAGCCAAGACAGTTTCGGCTTTCTTTCTTTTTTTCTTTCTTTCTTTCTTTCTTTTTAAATATATTTTTATTGATTTCAGAGAGGCAGAGAGAGGGGAAAGAGAGATAGAAACTTCAATGCTGCTGAAACCGGTTTGGCTCAGTGGACAGAGCGTCAGCCTGTGGACTCAAGTGTCCCGGGTTTGATTCTGGTCAAGGACATGTACATTGGTTTCGGGCACATCCCCAGTGGAGGGTGTGCAGGAGGCAGCTGATCGATGTTTCTCTCTCATTGATGTTTCTAGCTCTCTATCCTTCTCCCTTCCTCTCTGTGAAAAATCAATAAAATATATTTTAAAAAGAAAAAAGAAAGAAAAGAAACTTCAGTGCTGAGAGAGAATCATTGATCAGTTGCCTTCTGCATGCCCCACACTGGGGATGGGATGAAGCCCACAAACCAGGCATGTGCCCTTGACTGGAATCAAATCCGGGATCCTTCAGTCCGCAGTCTGACGCTCTGTCTACTAAGTCAAATTGGCTAGGGTAGTAACCCCGTTTTCAATCTGACCTCTGTCCCATGCAATGCCCACCTGCATTGTCCCATTGGACTAAGACCCTTCTCTGATGTGTAAACCTCACAGGTCAGGGGCCCTAGGCTATCCTTCCTTAACAATTTAAGGAAATGTCCCTCGGTACCCCTCAAGAATGAGTGAAAATAAGAAAAAGGGAAATCAGTTATCCCACAAAAGATCTATTTAACCTAGCTGAGCCCCTGCCCCACCCTAACTCTGTGCTTATCTTTGAGAATAGGAAGGCCTGCAGTTAATAATTTTTTCGCAAGAAAGAACTAGTTAAAATGAGCTCAATTGGGGAAAACTCTCCATAAAGTGTAAGATTGTTTAACCATTATGCTGAAACCTTGAAACTAATAATACAAAATAATATTGAATGTAAACTGTAATGGAGGAGGAAAAAACACATCTAAGAGAAGGTGGCTGCCAGAGAGACCTGCAGAGACCAGAAATCTGATAAAGTCCATAGTAAATGGCACACCGACAGGTGCCATGATGACTGACAGTCACCATGACAATGACGGGAGGAACCACAAAAGGACAGAAAAAAGGCAGAATCTGGAAAAAACGGTTAATACTCTTCTCCCCCTTCTAAGTATCAACAATTCCTGGGTCCTGGGAGGAGAAACTGGTTTGAGAGATAGGCTCTTGCTTTCTCATTGAATAAAGTTTGCACAGTTAATACTTTGTGTCTCTCTCTCTTTTTAAAAAAAATATATTTTATTGATTTTGTACAGAGAGGAAGGGAGAGAGATAGAGAGTTAGAAACATCGATGAGAGAGAGTCATCGATCAGCTGCCTCTTGCACACCCCCTACTGGGGATATGCCCGCAACCAAGGTACATGCCCTTGACCAGAATGGAACCCGGGTCCCTTCAGTCCCCAAGCCGACGCTCTATCCACTGAGCCAAACCGGTTTCGGCCTCTGTGTCTCTTATTGGCTTCATGACACAAAGGGGAAAAGGACCCAGTTTGGGGTCCTCGAAAAGGGGACTTTCATCTCTCAGGTAACAGTTTTGCTTCATTTATTTACAGCTGATTATATATATATATATATATATATATATATATATATATATATTTAATTGATTTTTTTTACAGAGAGGAAGAGAGAGGGACAGAGAGTTAGAAACATCGATGAGAAAGAATCATCCATGAGCTGCTTCTTGCACACCATCCCCTGGGGATGTACCCACAACCAAGGTACATGCCCTTGACCGGAATCGAACCCGGGACCTTTCAGTCCACAGGCCGACACTCTAGCCACTGAGCCAAACCAGGTTCGGCTTACAGATGATATTGAAGAGCCTGGCTTGAACACAGTGACCAGGCCAAGGTGTTGCCTAGCAACCACCAAGAGGGTAAATTGATAAACAGCTGTGCTCTGCTCAAAGTTGGCCTTGGTGCCAAGGTGCTGCCTAG